CATCTCTCTCTCGTTCTTCTGTTTGGCTGGGACTTGTAGTTCTGCCGTCATTGATTGTGAGTTGTATGGTCACACTATCCAAGGGCTGTCATGCTGACTGTGGTACAGACCCGCTTATAATACTTCCATCTCCAAGAACCCTGAAACCACCTGACCTCTGCCTGTCCCTTTCTTACAGAGGAGACTCCAGAAATGAAATCAAAGAGGACACCAGAGCCGGAGCAAGATAGGACACTGGCATATATCGGTATAATACGGTGGGGGGTCACGGTATACTCTATGCTTACATAGGGGGGTCCTCTTTGTAGTTTATCACTAGAAATCCTAATTAATACTAACAGGGACTTTGTCCGCATCGATGCCACTTTCTAACCGCTCATCCTCCTTTCTCTCCATACAGAATGGAAGCTTCCTTTCACTAAAAAAACCAACGAGGACGGCCATGAGAAGCCAAACAAGAAGAGTAAGTGTCACCGACTTGTCTGCCACCCTGACAACTATACTGGTGGGATGTCCCTGCCATAGTTCCCGGTTCTGTCCCCGTCCATCTAGGGGTGTCCACACTCCTCTTGGTGAGATCCCTGATTCTTCAGAGATGATGAGATCCCTCGTCCTGGAGGCTCAGCCCGGAAGTCTGATAATAAAGATCTAATCACTTCAAAGCCCATGATAGATAAAACCGGCAGGGACTGAACAAGAACAATGAGGTATTAGTGGAGGGGCTGGAGTGACCCTTTAATGAGAACGGTGCTGTTCACTTTCCATTATCTGATGGTCCTGGAGATGTCCCCAGTGTGCCCCCCACATGAGGACAGGCTGAGGCATACCATGGCAGTGGGACATATGAAAGCTGCTCCTGCTCGGTCAGGGATAGAGTTCAGACTATAGGGGTATCTCCAGCTGTAATGGTAAGTTCACCCCAATGTCTCTACCCCCAACACACCCCGGTGTCCGCCTTTTCCCAGCCCGGAGATCGCTGCCTGTCCCTCAGGAATCATAGTTTAGGGGTGTCTATGGGGGAAGGTGCGGACTGAGAATGACCCCAAACACTGGAACAACGGGTGCCAACGGTAAGATTGTTCCTCAGCACTCGTATGTATTAGCATCTAGAAGATATACGTCATCTGAATCCTGCAACACTCTTTTCCAGATAAACAAGGCGGCACCCCAGCGTCTGACCCACATCCACCTGATGGTACGTATGAGGAGCTCTGACGAAGGGATTGTGATATAGACTGATAGGCGTTCCATATCGCATACCTATCTCTATTCCTGAACATGACCATTGCTTGGCGGCCATGCAGATCCAATGGCTCCCGTGTTGTCTGACCCAGAACATAAGTGCAGATCACAAGTCGGGGCTTCATTGGCAGCGTGCTTGCTCCTGGTCAGTTGTTGCAGGAACAAGACATTTGGCCAAAGTCATTTTCGGGGTGGAACCTGTTGTAAGGTCTAGCCGGGCCAGAATGGTGAGGTCCTGGTGCTGAGGGCTGTGAGAGGATTGTCGTATATCATAAGAAGTGGATAGATAGGGGGAGCCGTCCGCACACCTTGCAACGGTCCAGGCCAATGAAGAAGACGGCGCCGTGCAAACACAAAGCCGAGAAGTAAATCGGCAGCACTCAGCGATATAATCCAATACGTCCATTCATTGGACAAAGACGTCACAATAGTCAGAGCCAACGTTTCGAGACCGCACGGGGTCCCTTCCTGAGGGCAGAAAGACGTGACCCAGACGTGAGGAAGGGCCCCCCTGTGCGGTCTCGAAACGTTGGCTCTGACTATTGTGACGTCTTTGTCCAATGAATGGACATCTTGAACTACAGACATTCCACGGTTAACGACTTACCTGCTTTGCGACCACTCGCACTTACGACGGACCGCCGAGCGACCTCCGACCTCGCGTGTCAGCGTCGGTGCGCCGTGTCGCCGGTGGAAGTGACGTCCTCCGATCTTCACTGCGGGTCCCGGAAAGTATTGTCTTTGCGCGATGTACAGTACGCTGTTCGGTACTGTACATCTGCAACGCTATAGAGTTCCTCACTTAACGACCAATTAGTTTAACGACCTGGTCGTAGGAACGGAACACGGTCGTTAAAGGAGAACTATAGGGTCAGTGTTTTCCCCCATAGTTCTCCTTAGGGTAACGGGAGGACACAAACCAGCGTCCTCCCGTCACCCTAGGCTCAGTATATAGGGAGCTGTAGCTCATTATATACTGAGACGCAGCAGCCGGAGCGGATCCCGACGTAGTTGACTGGATCCGCCCAGCTGTGTGAGTGACAGCTGGCTCTGCCTATCTAGAGGCAGAGCCAGCTGTACCCGCCCCCTCCCCCGTCCGTTCAGCCAGTCAGCGCTGGCAGATCGGAGCGGGGAGGGGGGAATCCAGCCCCTCCCCTGTCACGCCAGAGAGCCGTGACAGGATGGAGAGGTGAGCGAACGCCGGTATGTGTTCCCTCACCTCCCGATCTACTGAGCCGACCTGTGACAGTCTCATTGCTAGAACTACGAGGTGAGTGACAAGCCCCCCCCCCTCATAGTTCTCCTTTAAGTGAGGAATGCCTGTATATCGCTGTAGTGCTGCTGATTGACTTCTCTGCTTTATATCAGAAGAAGACTTCACAATCTGATTTTATGTTTCAGCCAAGCCGCGCAGAGCTCCGCGCTCCACCTCTGTCGCTCCACCGGACTCCAGGGAACAACTCCTGAAATGTGAGTTCCACGTTGGCGCCCATTGTACCGTGTGTGGTGAAGATCTCCCACCATCTGACTTCTATGGTTTTGGGTGACGCTCTCCGCTCTGTTTCCTCCGCAGATGCCGAGAGATTGGCAGCGAATTTTCATACCGCACACAAGAAGGTGTTCATAAGTGAGAGGTTCACCAAGATGGGCGTCAGCGAGACCCCTCAAAACTACCCAGACAACCCACACAGGTTTGTCAGCTGCTCTCAGGTGTTGTGCCACCAGGCCTTTCGCGGCGGCATTCACTACTGGGAGGTGGAGAAGGAGGGAGGCAACTTCAGCGGCTTTGGCGTGGCCTATCAGAGCATAGCTCGCTTCGGAACAGAGAGCCGCCTGGGCCGGAATAAAGTCTCCTGGTGCATTGAGTGGTGCAACGGCAAGCTGCAGGCCTGGCATGATGACAAGCAGACCGACCTCACCACCCCCAACGCCAGCAAATACGGGGTGCTGCTGAACTGTGACGATGGCTACGTTGCCTTCTTCTGCGTGGGGAAAAAGTGTAGCCAGATTTATAAATTTAATGCCCGCTTTACCGAACCCGTGTACCCCGCCTTCTGGATGTTCTCCAGTAAAACCGTCCTGACCCTTTGCCAGTCCTATGAGCCGTAGCCGGGGACGGGCAGAGCGGGTTTGGCTGGAGGAGGGGAGCATGCTGGTAATATTTATGGGTAATTGTAATTAGGTTGTCAGGTGTGTATATAGAGAACAACTCCAGGAATGAATCAAATGATGGTGATTTGTAGTTCCAGTGTGTGGAAAACCCAAATCTGGTCTGTAGTTTAGGATGAGGTGTCGGGGAGATTTCCTTCTACTTCCTGTAACAGAGACACGGCAGGAAGTAAGAGGAGAGGATATCCCCCCACTTAGACTGGTGTCCCCATTGGAAGGTTTCTCCTCCATTCTTGCTCTGGTGAATATTGTGTCACAGTCACCAGGACAATGGAGGGTGAATCTCCCCAGTGAGGTGAAACCCTTCCCCCCACTCCATCCAAAACGCAACAAAAACTTCTTGTCTTTACATTTAATTTAATCATTGATAAGATTTCTATAGATATTTGAAGTAGGGCTGCAACAATTAATCGATTCAATTGATCATCGATTATGAGAACGGTTGGCAACTATTCTCGTTATCGGTTAGTTGGTTGGGGGAGAGATTTTTTTTAAATTCAACCAATCGATTAGTTGAAAAAAATAATCGGGCAACTAATCAATTATGAAAATAATCGTTAGCTGGAGCTCTCATTTGTTGATTTCATTCTAAAACTGGTGTCATTCATGAAGAAGGCCCCTTGCTGTGCCTGTTGACATGTTGCGGGTTTTAGCTGGGTTTATATATAATGTGCATTTTGCTGGAAACCAAATGGAATTATTCTGACGTTCCTAAAATGTGCAGATCTGAACGGGGCCTCCCACTCCCTCTGGAAGGGGCTATGTATAGTGTATGATAGGGATTGGTGGCGGTTTGTAGTGGCATACAAGTCCCAGAATGCTTTTCTCTGGCCTGGGATCACGTGTGTGAATGATGGGGCGGTATTCTCTCCAATGGGTTCAGAAGAGAACATGGCGGCATCCAATGAAGCTGCTTGTACTAGAGATGTCTGTCCTCCGTGGCCACCTTGTGGGTCGATGGTGTGGTTGGATAATACAAGGTTTTCGGTGTCAGCTGACTCTTCATTGTTGGTGTATGGGAGCGGTAAGGGCCGCAGCTCCCTACTCCTCGCTAGATTCCAGGCGGGCCGGACTGGCAATTACTGGGAGAGCTGGTACCAGCGCCGTGTTCACTGCCGCTTGTGGGTTTTTTTCAATGCCATGCGTCTGGATCTTTTACCCAGCGACACGAATGGCAAACGCACTCCTCGATTCATCACAGCAATATGTGGAAGCCGCACTGCCTGGTCCGGGGCCCCTCTGCATAGTGCGGCCCTAACTCTAATCTATGAGAGCCGCCATCTTGGAGCACATTTATAGCAAAGATCTTTTATCTTTCAGTTTACTGCAGCAATGGCGTCATTGGAAAGGTATTGCAGCGTTGGGTCTTGTACTCACGTTCTAGCAGGGATTCCTGCTGATCCAGTCCGGCTCACTGGGGCGCCTGCAGGTTATGGGTGGAGGCTTCCGGTGAAGGCCGTTCTATAGAAGGTGTACAGGCTGCATTTCCACTACTCGTCCTGCACATTCATGAATGAACATATTACATGCAGATATTTGCGCATTTAATGCAGCCGACACTGGGAAGTATCACTCGGGGCAGCCGGCACTGGGAAGTATCACTCGGGGCAGCCGGCACTGGGAAGTATCACTCGGGGCAGCCGGCACTGGGAAGTATCACTCGGGGGCAGCCGGCACTGGGAAGTATCACTCGCGGCCCCCACATGTTGGATGGGTTGGGGTATAGTTCATCCAGGCAGAGATGACCAAAGACCAAATGGGGCCCTGGGCATTCGAGCAGCTTTGCCCCCTCCACCCCCAATCACTTCTATTGATTGAAGTCTCCCATCTGCATTATATGTACCAGCGTGGTCCTATCAGATACCAAAGTGTATAGACGGGTCCACGGCTCTGACCCATAAGTGACAGTCGGTTTATTGCAGCAGCAATAAGAGCTGTAGCTGGGCCCAGGGCTCCTGCATAGATTATGGATGATCGGGCTCTGCATGAACTGTCATTGCGATTTGGAGTGCGTCCTATGAATGGGATCTTGTGGTCCTATAGTCCCTCTAGTGCAGTCCTGGGATTTGTCCCCATGTTGGTGTACTGGGACTTTACTGACCTGTCCATCTCTGAATAGTGTCTGATGGACTGTATCTGAATAGAAGTCATCAGTGCAGACCACAGCTTATAAGACATTGTCATGTGACAGGCAGGGGGAGGGATTACCCTGTGATATCATTGTCATGTGACTGGCAGGCAGCAGATTACCCTGTGATCTCATTGTCATGTGACAGGCAGGCGGCAGAGTACCCTGTGATATCATTGTCATGTGACAGGCAGGGGGCGGATTGCCCTGTGATATCATTGTCATGTGACAGGCAGGGGGCGGATTACCCTGTGATATCATTGTCATGTGACAGGCAGGCGGCAGATTACCCTGTGATATCATTGTCATGTGACAGGCAGGGGGCGGATTGCCCTGTGATATCATTGTCATGTGACAGGCAGGGGGCGGATTACCCTGTGATATCATTGTCATGTGACAGGCAGGCGGCAGATTACCCTGTGATATCATTGTCATGTGACTGGCAGGGGGCGGATTACCCTGTGATATCATTGTCATGTGAC